GAGTGTCCAGTTGACAAGAGGGTCCCTCAGGAGTGTCCAGTTGACAACTGAAGCAACAGTGGCACCTGCAGGCAGGAAATGGATGTTATTTCCTTCTTTCTGCAGCAAAAATGCCTAACCAAAGAAACTTAAGGAGGGAAGGTTTGTTTGGGTTCTCCATTTAAAGAAGCAGTTCATCTTATCAGGGAAGGTCTCACCTGCAGGGGCTGGAGCCAGCCTGCTCACATCACATCCACAGTCAGAAAGCAGAGACAAACCAGTGCCAGTGTTTGGCTTTCTCCTGTTCCTTCATCCCAGACCCCAGGCCGTGGAAGGGTGTTATCCATAATTAAAGAGGGTTTCTCACCTCAATTAACCTAATCTAGATCATCCCTCACAGCTATGCCCAGAGGCTTGGGTCCTCTGCCATTCAAGTTGACAATGAATATTAGTTGTCTTGGATGAATAATCAGATAAACTAGAAAATACACGGGATTACATAATAGAGTGTTGAAGCTGGTACATGGGTGCTATTCAGTAAATGTTGGTTGAATGGGCAGACAGATTGTCCATTTCTTTATAAAGTCTCAGAAGGAAGGGAGGGTCCCTGAGGGCTGCTGTGTGCAGGGAAGCCTCCGGAGGTAGAGGGCAGGTGGAAGAACACACTGGGAAGCATGCTGGTGGGGAAACGTGTACACTTTAATTTTTGATGCATTAGAATAAATGAGTGAGGATTATATTATGTAAATTACATTATGTAAATTATAAAACACATCGATTGAGAATCTCATTTAAATAGCAATTTTTCCTTTTAAGGACAAAGGAAAAAAATGTACTATTAGTGATTCAGTAACAAGTCCCAGACTTGTAGTTCTCCGTGAGGCCTACCTTGCGCTTTGGGGAAGCTGGTCTCCATTGCAGACTGACTGGTTTCTGCGTAGGACAGACATGGCTCTGAGGGATGCCGCCTTCTCTCATGCATCTTTCACGTCTGTCAGAGTGACTGAGAGTGTGGAAATCAAATAGAACAAACTGTAATGAAAAGCAGCAGCTTCCTGTCAGCTTGGCCCCTCTCATCTCTGATGCCTCCTTTCCAAGAAAAATCACTTCCTCTTGAATAGACTGTTGATTTATGTAATTCTTCTAAATAATGCTACCATATTTGTTCTGTGCCTTGGGTGTATCTGATTTGCTTATCTGTTCATCTTATGAAAGAGGCATTTCACTCTTCTAGTCTGGCTGGCCTCTCTGGTTTTCTGAGACCCTTATCTTGCCTTGTCAGGTACCGCAAGAGCTCAGTGGCAGAGGTGACAGCAGTAAGCTGTCACCATAGTGGGGATGAAACTGTGGGATCTTGTCATCTGTACTCTAAGGAGACAGGGCCTAGAGAAAGTAAACTTAGGGAGGAAAGGTTTTGGGGGCTCCTAGTTCCCGGGTTTTCAGTCCTCCACAGCAGGGATGGCCTGTCATAACAGTTCCATTCATGTGGGCCGGAGAATGAGGCAGAGGCTGTTTACATCATGGAGGACCCGGACAAAGATGGCAAAGCTGGAACCAGGGGTCTGGTGGCACCCTCAGAAGCCCATTCCTAGGCTGGTGGTTCTCTTTTCTTCAAGCAAGGCCCCACCTCCTGAAGGAGCCGTAAATGTCCCCACACAGATGCAAATAATAAGGACATAATTTTGTTAGCACTAGGGTGTGGACAGAAATTTTAAAAAGACAACTTTGTATCAAATGAATTGTAGATGCAGGAAAGACGTGAAATGTCAAAATGAAGGAAGGGAATGAGGAAAGAGGCACAGACAGAGGAAGGAAGGAGAAAGAAAAATGCGTCTTGTCGTAGGGTTTCTATTGCTGTGATGAAATACCATGACCAAAAGCAGCTCCAGGAGGAAAGGGTTTATTTCACTCTGAGTTCCATAGAACAGTTCATTATCAAAAGCAATGTGGACAGGAACTCAAGCAGGGCAGGAACCTGGAGCAGGAGCTGATGTAGAGGCCATGGAAGGTGCTGCTTACTGGCGTTTTCCTCATGGCTTGCTCAGCCTGCTTTCTTACACCACGCAGAAGCCAGGGGAGGCACCACCCACAGTAGGCGGGGCTCTTCCCTCATCAATCATGGATTAAGAAAATGGCCTACAGGTGTGCCTACGGCCGGCTCTCATGGAGGCATTCTCTTAACTGAGGTTCTCTAGCTTGTTTCAAGTTGACGTAAAAACCAGCCAGCGCAGTACTGGCTGAAGAAGAGATGGGGAGGGGGGTGCGGGAGGTGCGGGGGAGACTCTTCTAATCATGACCTTAAGATGAAGAGCCACCCAAGGAATGAAGACTATTTCTCGTTTCTCAAAAACTGTGAACCTAGGGCTGGGAGAGGCGCTCAACAGCCAAGAGTGCACACTGCTCTTGCAGAGGACCTGTGTCAGTGGGTCACAACTGCCGGCACGTTTTGCTGCAGGGGATCTGATACCTTTTCTGGCCTCTGAGTATACCTGCACTCATATGCATGTGTGTGTGTGTGTGTGTGTGTGTATGTTTAATATATATATTATATATATATATATGTGCATACATATATATTTGTGTGTGCATGTATATATGTTTACATATGTACATATATACATGGTATATATGCATATACACATATGTATGTATGTATATGCACATGGTATATATATGTACATGTATATATATATGTGTCTGTGTGTGTGTGTATGTGTGTGTATATATTACATACTTAAACATGTCATTCTCTCCTATTGCTCTTCTGCCTTTTATGTGTTTGAAAGTTTGTCATGGTGTCAAACATATAAAGTGCCCAGCACATGCAAAGACAGTCTGGAGTGCACTTACAAAGTAGAAGATCACATCACCAGGGCTGAGGAATGTTGTGTTCTAGCCAGGGTTCCATCCTGACCCCACCAGGCAGGTGGTCTCCCTGGAGGGACACCCTCACCCCCACTTTGATCTGCCAGGTTGCCTCCTTAGTCACATGCCTAACGGCATTGAACTGGTCGTGTATCCTCGCTGATGGGCCGCCATCACAGAGGAAAGACAAAGTGCCGTGTGGTACAGCTGCGGCTGTCCTCGGTCAAGAAAAGAGCAAGCGGTCCTAATTCAGACAGATATGAGGGGACCAGAAGGATCCACTGAAGAGGAGGCATGAAACAGACCTGAAGAGAAGGTCAGTCAGCCTCCAAGGAAAGGAAGAGACCTCCAGGCATGGGATGAGACACAGGAAGCCCTGTACCAGAATGAGGTTAGGGAGAAAAGAAAGATCATGAACTTTGAAATTATCCTAAGCAGGGTCTAGGAGCCAAGCAGTCCTGTGATGTGTTATCTTCTACTTTGGAAGTTCAGCCTATTTATAGAGGACAGAGAAAGGGTGGCCTGTGTGTGTCCCCCAGAAGGACTTTATAGCCGTAGTTCCAGCCCAGGACAAAGAGAACAGGAGTACCTGTAGATAACAGATGGTCCATTCTGGGGCACTGACTCCTGACTGTTCATTCCTCTCAGTAGGGTTTCTCCACCACAGATGCCTCAGGAGTGACCCCTCAGTGCCCCAAGCAGAAAGCCCCAGTCTTTCCAGCCTCTTCTGGATCCTGATCAGAACAGAAGATTGGTTTACAAAGCTTGGCAGCATCCTGAGGATTCCTGATTGATTTTTAATTATTGGGAAGACCATTGCAATCCCACAAGCACCTAACTAAAACACAACCTGAAACCCCTTTAAGAAAATTTAGAGCCTTGAACTGCAGCGAGCAGCCATAAACTTGTAAATGGCGTCATTATTTTGCATTCTGTTGCTCACGGGGCCTCATATTCCGAGGGAAAGAGAAAGAACAATTCTCCGGTAATGTGTTTTTATGGTCTCTTTGCATATTGAGGATGTTCCAAAGAGGCAGTTATAAAAATATGATCACACAGCTTTTATTCTTAACTGTGCCGTGTGTGACTGCAGAGACAATACGGGGACGGAGGACACGCGTTTATCAGGTTATCTCATTTGCTAGCTTAGCTTTTTATGAGCTTTCTCTGGTTGCCTCACAAGAAAGGATCAAGTTAAAATTTCAGAATTCTGGACTTGGGCTTTTGTTTAATCATCTTTCCCTATTGCCAGTCAACTTCAATGTGCCCCTGTCTGCCCCCAACATAAACATTCATGGTGTGATCCAGGGGCCCAGAGCTCAGAGCATCTCATCAGAATACATTACTGAGGTTGGCAGGATCCTGAGACAGGCAGGAATTAAAATGAAATTAATTTTCCATCAGTAGGTAAGTAAACAGACCCTGACCTGACAGCTTGGGAGCTGGGAGATCTCAGACCCACGTTGACTCTGCTGTTCCATAACAATCTCTCCCTCTCTCCCTCCTTCTCCCTCTCCCTTTCCGTTTTCCTCTCCCTTCCCTCCCTCCCTTCCCTCCATCCCTCTTCCCCCTCCTTTCTTCCCTTTCTCTCCCTCCCTCCTGCCTCGCTGTATGTCTGCGTGTGTGCCTAGGGTTCTATAAAATAATAGCAAACATTTTGCATAAACGCAGTTGTCAGAGAACCTTGGTGGCTCGGGCCTTTAATCCCAGTGCTCAGGAGACTTGGGAAAACTGATCTTTGTGAGTTCAAGGTCACCCTGATCTATGCAATGAGATCTAGGCCAGCCAATGCTACATAAGAAGATCCTGATTCAAGAACAAAACAACAAAAAATAAATCCCCAACTCTCACTTTAAAGAGAAGAGATCTTATCCTGGAGCCAAACATGAGGGACCATGGCCCAATAGACTCGGGTTACCCCTAAATGCATACACAAATGTGGTAAATGTTCTTGAGGATTTTACAGTAAGAACAAAGAAAGGTAGCCAATGGGTTAAAGTGAGGTAGGTAGACAACCTCAGCGGTAGGTCTCAGATGCTCTCTATTGATTCTGAATTTGGTTCTTCAGGTTAATTTTTTCCTGTATAAGCGAGACACGGAACTCCTTCACAGCCATCACCATGCCTGGTGACAGCATCTGCCTGCTGACAGCCTGTTGTAAGGTTCGGGCATCAGTCATTCTTGCCCTGTCTGTGTGTCCTGGCCCTTAGGGGATGAGCTTCATAAAACTCCTTCTTGCAAAGTCAGCCAGTAGGAAAGCCTCCTGGCTGTTGCTTTTCTCCTCTCTGTGACCAAACACCTAGCAAAAACAATGTAAAGAAGAAACAGAGGTCCACTGTGGTGGGGAGGGTGGGGAGGCTGGGGAGGCTGGAGCAGCTTGGACACTCTCTGGGTGCAGGATCCACCATCAGGGTCACCATATCACTACAGCTTTAGAAAGGAGCTCTGGCCAAGCTCAGAAGTGGGCATCTCCTTTAAGGCCCAAGCTACAGTAACAACTTCTAGTTGGCTACCACAATCCTAAATGTTCTGCAACCTCCCAGAACAGCACCACCTGATGGAAACCAAGTGTGCAAACACATGAGCCTGTGGGGACATTTCACATCCAAACCATAATAAGCATTTAACCCTGAGTCCCCCTGAAACTCTAACATAACAAACACATCGCTCAGAGTGGCAATGGGGACTGTAGTTTTACACCTATGCATAGATACATAGACACACACACAAACACATGCAAACATGTACAACAACAGACACACACACACAGACACATGCATAGATACATTGACAGACACACAGATAACATAGGAACATAGCCACACATGCAGACACATAGACACAAACACATGCAAACATATACAACAACAGAGACACAGACAAATAGGCACAAACGTGAGTTGATAAAGACACAGACATGTACATAGACACACAGACAGGTAGAGCCACACAGACAGGTGCATGCGCGCGCGCACACTCCGATGGTTGGGGCTCACTGAATAAGTCGTTCCATCCTTGCATATTTGGCAAGGCTCTGGCGTCCGAGCTCAGGGCCATGACTGGCTAGGTTCTCATTGACATTTCTTGCTTTCTGTTTCCTCGCTGAGTAACTGAAGGCCAGGAGCACCTGCTTTTCTTATCATGGTTTTCGGCCAGGCCCTGTCACCTCGGTGCAAAGACTCCCACCATCCCTACTCCCTATCTCCCCATCTCAAATTATTCTTGTTGCCACACAGTGAAAAATATCACTTCCTAAAAGCAAATATGACAAGTTTTTGAAAATCCGTCATGCACACCCTTCCCCGACCAGATGGTTTTCAACTCTCCAGCCTTGGCGCTCTTCAGTTTCCTGTGACGCACTATGGTGACACAGCTTGGATCTCTCTCCCTTGAAGGTTGTCATGTTTTCTCTGAACTGGTGACAAATGTTGATAGAACCCTGCAATGTGTTTTTGGAAGCGGGTTGAATGAATCATTTTTGATATGTTGGCCTCGATCTGACACTGTTGGTTTCTTATAAATGGAGAAATGAGGGGAAAAAATTTATACAGAAAGAAACTTAAACAGCTGATCTTTCGGGAGATTAAAACAGGAAAGGAGGAGAAAGGAAATAGAAGGGGAGAGATGGGGAGGGGAGGGAAAGGGGAAGGAGAGGAGGGGAGGGCAAAAGAGGGGGGGAGAGGGGAGGGCATGGGAGGGGAGGGAAGGGGAGGGAAGGGGAGGGGAGGGCTCCTCTGTGTCCATCATCCTTTATGAACTGGGGTTTCTCTCATTTCCCCTGTTTTAGTGGAGACTGACAAATCTTTTGTTTTCCTTTGTTATTCTTTACTACCCTCCAGATTAAGATCGTTGTCTTTATCTGTTTAAAAATAAATATGTAGGGAGGCTCGGCATGTATGCATCTTACTTGAAGAGAATTTACTATAGAGAGAAAGGATTTCGTGACCAAGAAAGTAAAGTGTGAGAACAAATAGAAGCGGGAGGGGGTGACGGGAGAGCCATGACTATGTTTCACCGTCCATAAATCATATCCAAGGAAGTCGATTGTCTTGAAAACACGGGTGCTGACCTGTGTGCTGTCCTCTGTGGACTGGACAGACTCTGAGCTGAGGGATGCAGCCAGCAGGGAGATCTGGCGTACCATACACAGCCTTGCTGCAAGGGAAGAGCACTTGCTATTTGCCTGTCAGAGCCTCTCCTCAGAGTGGGTTTTGTATTTCTTTCAGATGTTGCTCATTTAATGTGGTTTGAGAGGCTCTACGTGTGGCTCCAGTGTTTCGAAAAGTATCTCTTATACCCAGCCATAGTCCTGAACGCTCTTACTCTTGATGCCTTCTCCATAAGCAACTACCGGAGACTCGGCACCCAGTAAGTGGAAGACAGTTTTTTCTCACACTGGTTCGGATCACAATATTTTCAGAACGGATTGGGGTTTCTCTGAGCAATCCAAGAAGCCAGTGTCACATCCCCGTGAATCCTGAGAGAAGCCAGGGTGGTTTTTCCGCTCAAATCCATTCAGAGTAGGCACTAAATGTTCAGTGACAGGGATGCAAACGAAGTTTGATCAGCCCACAGTGGTGCCACAGATAAACATCAGGGGGTCTGAACATCTCCCTGCAGAAGAGTGGTGATGATGCCCCTTATGTGACAGGGGCTCAGCGTGAAGTGGAAATCCCAGGATCTTCACCGCTGTGCTTCAAGCTTCTCAAATTGCTCCAGATCACTTTCATTTAGCAAATATCATGCATGCTTCAGGGGAGGGGGAAGACGACCCTGCCATCACTTCCTGTATTTATGGAGAGATGCCTCATCATGTAAAAGGTGGGGCACCAGAGACATCCCACTGCCAAGGCACCCGTGTTCTTACAAAGCGTGAGCCACGGTAAGGCTAAATCATTAGTTTTGTGGATGAAAATTAGTTCCGAATCTACAAGTGGAATTCCGCTTGGTAATTTGCAGATCTGTCATTCTGAGGGAAGGTGAAAAGACACCTGCCAAATACATTATTAGAGTAGGAGGAGATACAGAGTAGCAATATTCTAAAAGGGAAGCTTTCTCACAAGTCTGCCTTGGTCAGCTACTCAACCAATACCATGAGAGAAAAAAGTTAGGGGATTGACTTTAAAGGTTAGAAGGTAGCTGGAACAGCACACGTAAGAAACATTGGAGGGGTTGGGGATTTAGCTCAGTGGTAGAGTGCTTGCCTAGCAAGCAAAAGGCTCTGGTTTCGGTCCTCAGATCTGAAAAAAAAAAAAAAGGAAAAGAAACATTGGAGGTAAGATGTGGAGATGAAACGGCTTTATAAAAAAGTCCGCATTTCTTTCTGTGCTTGGAACATAATGTTGACTCTTACCAGGCTCTTGTTTCATATCATCCCTTGTTATGATTAAGTGCACATGGGGCAGATCCTTATTCGGACAGCACACTGTCTGTTTTGTAACTGTCTAGAGTTTTCTGTGGAATGCTCTCATGTGACACCCATGACCTCAGATGTGCCCTGAAGGCTTCGTGACTGCAGAGGAGAACAGGACTCTCAGCCACAGTCTTTGATAGCTAGTACCTCAATCTCCTTTCTGTCACTGTGATAAAACGTTCAGACCAAAAGCATCTTAGAAGAGGAAAGGACTTACGAGGTCTTTTGCTGAGGGAAGTCAGGGCAGGAACCGAAGCAGGAGCTTTATTTACCACTCCAATTGGCAGTGTGAACCCAGAGCGGAGCCTAAAGATGAGGCAGACTAAAGTCTCATGCAAGAGCCAGTTTTATCTGGAGCATCAGACAGTTTATACTCCAAAAGTTAAGAAGAGTCACCTGAATAAAGCATAATACAGTCACAAAGTCAAGCTGCACATTGCAAAAACATGTTATTCCATGCAGTCGTATGAATAACAACAGCTGGAGTAAATTTACTCCTATTCAATACACCTGAGAGGGGCACAAAAACACATTTTTTTTTCAAAGAAACATGTGACCATGTTTTTGAAGAAATTGAGGTCACAAGACTCTTGTTTTCTCGGAGTTTTCTCACAAGCACTCAGAATTCTCCTCATGTGACTATTCTTAGACTATTTCCTAGAGAGCTTGAAGCAGAAACCACTGGAGGAACGCTGCTTGCTGGCTTTCTATGGACTACCTACCTGGTGCTGCCCATGGTAGGCTTAGCCCCCCTCCCCATCAATTAACAATGAAGACAATCCCCCTACAGACATGCCCACAGGCCAAGTTGATCCAAGCAATACCTCACCTGAGCCTCTTCTCTGATGACTCTAGGCTGGGTCAGTTGACAGTTAAGCCTAACCAAGACAGACATAAAATTACTTCAGTGGCAAAGAAGATGGATCAAGGAGTCAGTTCAGACCAGTTCTCCATTGAATCTTTTTCCCTAAAACCTCAGATGATCACCCTGTTCCTGGAGGCCTGCTCCCTGTCTGCAGATGTGGACAGTGTAGGATCTCCACATTGGCCTTCTGAGCCTGCACATGGAATTTGCATAGTCTGACCTCAGAGGACCCTAGTGATTATATAGCATCACATGACGTTGACCCAGCCTCTTGTTCTTCACAGCTGGGACATTTTTCTGATGATCACGGCGGGCATGAAGCTCCTGAGGACGTCATTCTGTAACCCGGTTCACCAGTTTGCCAACTTGGGTTTCACAGTCATCTTTTTCCACTTTGACTACAAGGACATCTCTGAAAGCTTCCTCCTGGATTTCTTCATGGTGTCCATTGTCTTCACCAAGGCAAGTCCCTGGCTTGTTTCCTTCGTCTTCAGTGATGGAGAGGGTGTGTCTTATGTTGCCTGGCTTTTCCTGGGGAAATTTAGAAAAAAAAAATGCCTTCTCACAAGAAAGGAAAGGAGATAGAGACAAACAAAAGTCGGGATTCCACTGAAGCCTAGCTTGACGAACCAAAGAATTTATTGGGGTCATTTACAGGAGCATGGGAAACACACAGGCAGTTACCCCACTGAACATATAGCATGTCTAACTCACAGACAGTTACAGCCCTGCAGGGTCCACATCTCTCACCAGATCTTTTTCTACTTTGTAGGCCGACACTTGGCAAATCCACATGCCACTGGGGCAGTAAGAAATGGTAGCTAGAACCTCAGTGGAAGATCTAGTGACCTTCAGCCTCATACAGGTGCCAAGCCTTGCCTTCTTTCCACGAACCCCATAATTCTGGAGCCTCCACTTTAACTGAGGCTGTATACACTAATGGTGTCTAACATTCACTAACAATGCCAAGCCTTAGCTACTGTCCATGTCTCCCCTGTGTCTTCAAAACCAATACCACACGGGAGATGACTTTACTTGCCAAGTTTGGCTACCAGCTTGAGAGTCATCCCTAGCCTTTTATAGACTTCAGCTTCTGTAGGCTGACGCTTAACCTCAATAATAACTGGACTCTAACCACAGTTGATTTTTTCATACCCAGCTAAACAGCATTGATTGTCCTAATAAAGCAAAGGTTTCACCTCATTGCTGCTGGTCTCTTTTTAACTGAAGCTGATTCTTCAGCCCCGGATGACCAGACGTCACAGATTTTTATTCAAAATATCATATTAATGATGCTGATAGAGTTATTGAGAGACTCTCAAGTCCTGCTGACACTTCACACTCCAGACCTTTATTGTCTGCATTTCCCTAAGCATTATCTTCCAAGTTCCCACGACAATGCGACATCTGAGCATTTAGTGTCTTTCCAGACCAAAGCTCTATAGTCATCTACCTTCCTCCTATATAATAGTCCTAGACATGAAAGGCATATGATGGGGTCGATCACAACAAATCCCCACTCCTGATACCAATTCGTCTTCCAGTTTCTCCAGTACTGAGATAAAACGCCGATCAAAAGCAACCTGTGGAGAAAGGGTCTATTTCATTTACCTCTTATAATCCATCATCAAAGGAAGCCAAAGGCAGGAACTAGAGCAGCCATGACAGAGGAGTGCTGCCTACTGAGTCTCCCCAATCCAGGTCTCCCTGCTGAGGGATGGCACAGTCCACAGTGGGCTGGATCCTCCTCTGTCAATCATTAATCAAGAAAATTCCCTATAGATATGCCCACAGGCCAATCTGATAAAAACAATTCATCAATTGAGATATCCTTTTCCCAGGTATGTATGGGTTTGTGTCAAGTTGACAAAAACCAACCAGCACAGTCTTGTGCTTATGATCTTTCTGTATCCCCCACCCCCACCCCCGAGTGTTGGTACTATAGGTGTGCACAGCCACATTCATTTTGTATAATGTTGGGGCTGGAACCCAGAGCTTCATGACTGCACTTTCATCTCTGGCCTTTGACCACATGCATGTATGCTTACCAACACCATATACCCACATCTATATAATACAGGAAGGAGAATGTGTCACATGCTTACCTAACTTGTACAAAACCCTGGGTTTAATCTCCAGGACCAGTTAAGTCAAGCATGGTGGCACATGGCTTTAGTCCTAGCACTAAGAAGGTGGAGTCAGGAGGATGAAAAGTTTAAGGTCATTCTTGGCTACATCAAACTCTTTGTGAGAGTTGGACAACCAAGAAAACCCTTACAATGCTTTGGGATCTTCCTGGTCCACCCAGATCTGGTGTCACAGTAAGTTGTGTGGGGAGGACACTTGGTGGCTAGGAATATTTGATCGTAAGCAGACAAAAGATGTCATGGTCCTTGCACACCATCCCACTGGCCCTGGAACATCCTTAGGAATCACTTTGTTTTAGTACCTTTTGCAAGAAGGCGTGTGTGCATGACCTGAGAGAACCCTGCCATCCCCTAACCCATTAAACATGAAATTCCGCAGACCGTTAGTTCAACGAACATGTTTTTGCCACTCAGGAAATTAAAATTAATGGTGAGGCCATTTCATGGTGATTGTCTGAATAATTGCTGCCAAGCCACGAAGTGCAGCCTTGCTATGAAGGACCACAGTTCATGTTCAAGGTCACTGCAGCAATCTCTAAATGGCATTTCCTTGTCCTTCATGGGTATGGGTGGATAATCTTATATTTAAAATAAAACACCTTTTTAAAAATAGAGCTCGGGCTTTTACAAAAGAATTTATTCACAACACTTAGTTCAGAAAGCAGTTGAAGGGCTAGGAAGAGGGCTTGACTGGTAACGAGCTTGCCACATAAGCATGAGAATTTGAGTTCAAATCCCCAGGTCCTACATGAAAGCCTGGTATGAGAACATGAACCTACAATTGCAGCTCTGTGTGGGTGGTGGGAAGGCTCACTGACCAGCAGCCTAACCAAGCCAGCAAGCATGAAGTTCAGAGAGACCCTAGTTCAAAAACTAAGATAGCAAGTGTTTGAGGAGGTCACATGACACTGATCTACATATGTATAAATGTGCACACATGTGAACATGTACGCACATATATCACACACAAGAAGCAATGACATTCCTATGGTTGCCGAGCTCGATCCTGGGGTTATCCATGGCCAATAATGTGGGTGTTAGCATAGCCCTGGCACTGTTGATGGGTCAGGAAACTGCTCTGAACACTCTGTTCATCTTTGCAGCTTTGTTGGTAACGTTCTTCAGTTTATAAGAGTAAACTGAGGCATGAGAATAAAGTGAATTGTTGCATGGTCTCATGTGAGAGAACTAGGTTCAAGTGCAGGCCCCCAAGCTAAACCTGTATTTTGTGGTGCTGCCAGGTAAGTCTAGGACAGGAGGCTCTCCAGTAAGGAGATCTCATCCTACTGAAGCTTCCAGAAGTGGGGTCCAGTCAGCCTTCATGACTGGGAAGCGAAGGTGCTGACCTGGAGCTTTAAGGAGGAGGGAGGGTGTCAAGCATGTGAAGTCGACAGAAGCTTTGAGAGGTTCAGATCTTTAGGGTGGGACACATGTTGCAGGCTTCATGGCAGCTGGGAGATGCAAAGACGTGGGAAGGGGAGGTGTGTTCTAAGCATCTACAGGTGAGAAAGGAGAGGCATCATGATGGGAACCTTGAGGTCTGAGCAGGAGTCCTACCAAGTTAAGACTTGATTCTTGTGATGACTAAACACTGGGACAGGTGTAGCTGGGCAGGAGTCACATGCTTGTGACTCTAGGTTGTGTGTGTGTGTGTGTGTGTGTGTGTGTGTGTGTGTGTGTGTGTATTGAAACAAAACCCTCCTATGCAGCTCTGGCTGTCCTTGAGTTCTGTATCTTTGAACCTCATCCTCTGGAGCCCAAGGATTACAGGAATAAATACCTGGATGTCTCTTTTTAGAGGTTACTCATATAGTTCATGATAGGGACTTGAACCAGCAATGCAGAAGGCTAGAGGAGGAAGAGGAAGAAGAAGAAAAGGAGGAGGAGGAGGAGGAGAAGGAGGAAGAAGAGGAGGAGGAAGAAGAGGAAGAGGAGGAAGAGGAGGAGGAAGAAGAGGAGGAAGAGGAGAACAGGAAAGGGACAGAAAGAGACTGGAAACCACTGGTGGCCTATTTGGGGAAGCCACATTGGTAATCTGTGGAGGGAGGGCCTGTTGTTTCAAATGACACTGAGACCCTGTTTTACAGAAGCAGAAGAGGAGGGTCAGAGCTGGAGTATGGCAGGGTGCACTCCTATAACAGGAGACTGGGGTGGAGAATATGGTCATGTTAGCATCTAAGGGGACAGGGAGGTGGGTCTGTAACTGGAGTGCTTGCTGTGCAGGCATTAGGGCCTGAGCTGGAACCCAAAACAACACAGAAAAGTTGGGCATGGTGTGCATACTTGGAATCCCAGAGTGAGGGAGACTGACAGCTCTGGGACCTGGCAGCTTCATCTACTTGGTGAGCCCCAGGCCGGTGAGAGACCCTGCCTCAAAACAAAGACATAGAACAGTAGACAGTGCCTGAGAGATGATACTCACATTTTCTTCTGACTTCCACAGTCACATACAAACATGTAAACACACACATACACACACTCATGCACACACACACACAGGTGTGTGCACCACAACATATCAAATAAACCAGGCTAGGAACTTCCACATGCAACAGCACATATAGAGGAAAGTTCACACCTACAGATTACCCATAAAGGTCCCAGTCTGCTGACACATGTGCTGCTGAGCCTCTCTCTGCCTTTTCTCTTAATAAACTGTCTCTGTTTCATTCGCTATCCATGTGTCCCCATCAATCCTTGTTTGAGAACATGGGGACTTGGAATATTTGTCTAGAACATTTCAGCCCATTGTCTTAAACCCACATAGTCGGGGAGTTAAGTCCTTCACATGCATTTTCGTCCTCAGAATTCATGGAAAGGGGGGAAGGAGAGAGAAAGCTGACAGTGAGGAGCCCTGGCTTCTCCAGAAGCAGAAAACAGACCAGGTTACCCCCACCCCTCACCAAGACTTCTGTTTAGCATCATGTATTAAGCTGGCCTTCATGATATTCATGAGGGAAAGGAGACACCAGGAGAGATGGGGGAAGAATGAGGAGAGCTGAAGCCCCGGGCACAATTAGAGCAAGAAAATGCTGGGTTTGGAAGCCTTCAACGTCTGATTACTAGCTTTGCTTATGCGTAAATACAAACTGCTGTGCTAAGCAAAAAATAATTGTAATAGATTCATTTAATCACGTTGCCGCTGTGCTGGACCCGCGAGGGCTCCGTGCTCACAGATGTGCCCTCCCTGGGGCAGCCCCACTGACTGCATGGCTAAGCCTGACCTACTTACTAGCTTCATAGGAAGGTGTCTAAAGAGACTTCCAGGACACAGCCACCCTGGGAAAAATGGAACAGAGAAACTTTCCATCACTGAAGCCTTTGAAGGGAAGGGGGGTACACATATCGCTTAAGTCTTGCTAGCACTCATGGTTTTCACGTAGACACGAGCCGCGAGATGAATTCTTAATAGCTACACTAAGAGTTCTCAGCATAGTGTCTGGGACAATGTAGGGCAGGGAGATTGGGCTTCCTGTGAACTTAAAAGATGTGAACACACATGCATGCGCGCACACACACACACACACACACACACACACACACACTTTAAATAGTTAAAGAAAAGTGGGACCTTGAACTGACAGAGCTTGGAAGAGCAGGGACCTCTTGGCTCTCAGGCTTGTGCTGGGCTACCTAGTTCTCCTACCTCAGCACTCCTAAGCACTTTTTAAAAAAGATTTATGTATTTATTTTATGTATGCGAGTACACTGTCACTGTCTTCAGACACACCAAACAGGGCATCAGATTCCCATTACAGATGGTTGTGAGCCACCATGTGGTTGCTGGGAATTGAACTCAGAACCTCTGGAAGAGCAGTCAGTGCTCTTAACCGCTGAGCTGTCTCTCCAGCCCTCCTAAGCACTTTCTAACTGGCAGTCTGATAAGTGGAGCTATTTTCTCCAAGTACAGGCAGCTTCACAGATGAGATGAACTTATAAAAACCTGAGCAACAAGCTAAGAAGACGGTTCAGCTGACAGAGAGCTTCTCACACCCATGGCAGCCTGAACTTCTGCACAGAACCCACACATGAAGCTGACTCGTAGTGCATGCCTAAAACCCCAGTGCTGGGGAGATAGACTGGATCGTTCCTGGGGCTTCAGGCCAGAAGAATCGACAGGCTCCAAGCCAGTGAGCAACCCTGTCTCAGAAAACAAGCTGGCTCAATGAGTAAAGCATCTGACACACAGCATGAGGTCCAGATTTTGGATCTCACCTGAACCCTGCATACATGCTCATCTGGACACATGTGCAGCTTTACACTCCAACAGGTATACACACATGCACACTACCACATATACATGCAAAATAAACAAATTACAGGTAAACAAGAAGACCACCGCCAGAAGAGTGACACCTGAGGCTGACCTCTGGCTTCCCCGTGCACACACATACAAACACATACCCACACACAGATGTGAACACAAACATTCACACCACATACACACATGAGCACACAGAACCACACCACTCACACAAAACACCCACACCACACACACATGTGAACACACACAAACACCCACACCACACACACATTAATACACACAAACATCTACATACATGTTGGAATACACAGACATGCAAACCCACATCATACACGCATACATGTGAACACAAACACATACAAAACATACAAACACCCACAACACCCCCTACCCCCACACACACATAAATAAATAAAGTGGACTGTGCCAGAGGAAATAGGAGGTTGACCTCTGTTCTTTCCATGCATGCACACATATGTGTGCCTGCACATACACACATGAACACACGCAAACACCCACACCACACACACATGAACACACACACCTATATGCACATTCAAACACATATATGCAAACCCACACCATATACACACATGTGAACACAAACACATACAAAACATACAAACATCCACACCATACACACACACACACACACACACACACACACACAAATCTCAGAAACATTAAGGACACTGGACACTGGTATTTGTACAAATCTCCTAAAAAGATCTCCGTGTGAAGAACAGCAGACCGATCTATGAAAGGCAGAGACACTGCCCATGCGTGGACCTGCTGAGATGAACCAGCCGAGGCTCTGTTGACCCGTGACCTCTGTGAAGCATCATCAGACACCATCTTGCATGACCTGTGGGACAGATGACACTGTGACACAGAAGCCAGCCGTGATCATGTGGCCTCTACCCCACAGACGATATCCTCTGAGTAATCTTGATATGGTGACCAGGCCGGCTCTGTCTTCTCTAACCTATGTCTCTTTGCTTTCAGCTTGGGGACTTGCTTCAGAAGCTGCAGTTTGTCCTGGCCTACGTGGCCCCTTGGCAGATGGCCTGGGGCTCATCCTTCCATGTGTTTGCCCAGCTCTTCGCCATCCCTCGTATCCTTTCTGCTTGCTCTCCCCTGACAAGCTGAGGTTGGCATCTTACAGACAGGCGCTCTCCACTGACCTGGCAGTAACAGCACTGTAGTCTGTTTGATTACGTCTTAATGTGTGTAGGAGAGGTACTCCGGGTACCTTCAGGCCACTTAACCTTAAAAGACATTTGCTCCTCAATGCATGCACAATGTTTTTTTTTTTTTTACTTGTTTAAAAAAATATATACTTTATTTATTTAATCAGAGGCAGGTACCATGGTGGACATGTGAGGGTCAGAGGGCGATTTGGGGAAAATGGTTCTCTCCTTCCAACGTGTGGGTCCCAGGAACAGAATTCAGATCGTCCAGCTGGGAGACAAGTACCTTTACCCACTGAGTCAGTTTGCCAACCCAAGTTTTACATTCTTACAGCCTCTATTTCCTAACTCTAGGTATGCAGCCAGAGGGTTGGACTATTAAAATGGAAAATAACTGATTAAATAATTGGGTCGACTTAGGCAAACTTGTACATATATATTTACCCTTAAATGTTATAGATGTGGTTAATTAATTCAATATATTATTTATTATGTTGTAATATAATGTACTCTTTATACCTGCTTCATCAATATTTACAAAATCTAGGATTGGATACAAGTAGAATTACCCTGAAGTACTTTTGGAGAGTTAAAAAAAAAATCATAGTTTTGTTTTGCAGTTGCTAGGCAGACCTGGTTTCCGTACATTTTTAATGTGTTTCCACAATGATCATTAGCTTTAATTCAATTTAAATCCAGCTCAAAGCAAATTAGAGATGTCATTTCTAATGATCACGTTGACGCAGATAACTACATTCTATACCCAAATGTAGAGAGACATAGAGAAGCTGATTAAAGAAAGCCATTCGTGATGACGCACACCTGTAATGCTAGTTTTCGAGAGCAATAGGCAGGAGGATTGCCTACAAGTTCCAGATAGGTAGGACTTACATAGGTCCAGGCCAGTAAGGCTTTAAAACCAGACTCTGTTGCAAAATAACAAGATGAGCAAAGAAGGCACTTTTATATACTTGAAGGGAGAGATTAATACAATTTTCTTGATGTCCACCTAATATCTGTCCCTCAGCATTTCCTTTCCCACCGATTTTAGATTTTCAATACCCATGTTTCTGATCACAGGCTCAGAGCCACTGACATCAGAGCCCCAGGAGGAACTTGTAAGACATAGATTCCTGGGCTCCACACAACTTGGAGGTCAAACTGGGGTGAATCCTGAGACAGTGGTCTAGTTTTGTTTGTGTTGCCGTGACAACCACTCTGATGGAAGCAACTTAGGGGAGGGAGGAGTTTATTTGACTCACATTCTGGGCTATGGGAAAATCATCACTGAGGGGCTAATGGAGGCAGAAACTCAAGCTGTCAATCCATTGCACCCTCCGTTAAGGCCAGTGAGAAGGGACTGCATCCCGGCTGGCTCGCTCTTGTGGGGGGGGGGGTAGGGGGTGGGGGGGAGGTGTGGGAAGGGGGAGGTCAGCTTTCTTCACAGTCTGGCCCATAGTGTCACGCACATTTGGGTGGGTCTTCCCACCTCCGTGAACAATCAAGACAATCCCTCTCAGACATGCACACAGCACATCATGAGCTGAACAATTCCTCCAAGTCTCTCTTCTTGAGTGATTCTAGGGTCTTTCAGGGTGACAGTTAAGACAACCAGTACTGATAGATGCAGGAACTTATGGTTGTGTTGACGCTCTCTGGTGAAGGACTTTCCTCAGACTAAACTCTGGCAGTGTACTTTGTGTGCTGCTTATTGGTACAAACAAGGCTGGAAGCTTTACTCCCATGAAGATTTCAGATGGTTAATTGAAATTCCTCACAGGAGATTTCTTACCCATCTTGGTGGTCAGGACGGAAACATACTTGTGAGCGTCACTAAATAATAATGTATTACGATTCTTTAAAAAAAATTTTTTTTAAAAATTATTGAAACGTTTTTAAGTCATCCATCACTTCTGGTTCTTATAATCTTTCCTCCCCCTCTTCGAAGTATATCCATCCCCGAGTCTTGAGAGGAGGGTGTGACAAAGGCATCCAGTCAATGGGAGATCAAGTCTTCAAAAATAGATTGTCAGCAACTGAGGAAAGACACTGGCCTTCACATGCATCTGCACCCAAATACAAAGATAGGCGCACACAGGCACACACACACACACACACACACGCACGCACGCACGCACGCACGCATGTACACATAAAACACACACGTCGCACATGCACCACACACACACACACACACACACACAAAGTGAAGACATCCAAGATCCATATTGTATACGATATTTGACCATCAGTTTTGGAATATTCCATCCATCTTTTCCCTAAAACTGGTCCTTTGGTGATATCATTTACTCCCTTCTGCTGAGACAAGACCTTCCAACTGCCCCACATGCTGGCCATTTCCTTCAAAGACTCTCCTTGTCCACAGATCTCTTCATCCTTGTTCAGTGATAGAGGTCAGGACACTTATCAACTGGAGTCCGCATGAGATGAAGGGTGGAGAAGCTGGGTTTACATAACGGTCCAGAAAAAAAGCTGCTAGATCCGTAAATCAGTCTGGATCCCACCTAATTGCCAAACGTTAATTATCTCATCATCCTATTAAGAAACGTGGGCTCCATCCCACATCGAGAACGGACTAATTTGCTCTATTTTGGAATTGAATTAGCTCTCCAGCCAGGAGGGCACTGGTGGGTAAATTGCCTTCTCCGGTTCCAGCATGTTTCCTCTCTTGCCACCTCCGTTGGCTTGTGAGCTTCCAGCCTCTAGGGAGAAAAGCTCACCCTCTAAACGTGTGCAGACACTGCGCCCAGCTATCGTCTCCTCATAATTAGACTGCAGCCTAAACGTGCATGGTGAGGAGACAGCTTCCCACCTCCCACGTCTCTTTAAGCTCCTAATGGTTTTCGTAAAGTGTTTAACTATTGGTGTTGAGGATTTCATCTTACTTGTGCTTTTCACAGGTCATCTTGTAAGATAACCTTTTGCCCAAAGAACCAAAGAAGGCTTTGGATGACCTTTGCACTACGAGCCTATCCAGGGTCTGCGTTGGTTGGTGCTATTAGTGATGGTTCAGCTGAATACTTTCATCCGTCGTCCCTCAGAGGCTCTTCATTCTCTCCCTTCCTCCACCTTCCACCATGCCTCCCTAGAGGTCCCAGCTTTTTGATCTAGTGTGTGTGTGTGTGCATGTATGTGTGTACATGTGCACATGCGTATGTGTGTGTGCACACGCACACCTATATGTGACACTCAGAGGTCAGTGTTGGCATCTGTATTGATAGCTGCCCTGTAGCCCAGGTTGGCTTTGAACTCCTGCTGTAGCTAAGGATGAATGTTAACTTCTGTTCCACCCTCCTGGTGCTGGGATTATAGATGTGGGACACTGTGACTCATGGAATGGCATTTGAAACTCCAGTGATGACAGCGTGTATTCCTCCTTAACCCTATCCTTTCAGACTCCGCCATGCTTTTCTTCCAGACATTCGCCACCTCGATCTTCTCCACGCCCCTGAGTCCGTTCCTTGGGAGTGTCATCTTCATCATGTCCTACGTCAGGCCGGTGAAGTTCTGGGAGAGAAGCTATAAGTAAGAGCTTAATATCACTGCTAAGTTGCCATATTTCCGTGTGTCCCAGCACTTACTCCCTGACCCTCTAGATCATTTTGGACTTGTTTACATCCTCTGTACAAGGGGTCTGACCCAGGTTCCCGTGACTCCCCAGTTCACAGTGTGAATCTGTGATCTGCTACCGGTGCAGTGTGAATCGGTGATCCCCTGCTCCTGTAGTATGAGTCGGTGGTCTCTGGGTACACAGTTATGAACTAGGGTTCAGCTATTAATCGTAGCTGGAGAGCTATGAAGAGAGTTATGCAGCCGGTTCTTAGCTGCTGGCCTAAGAGATGTGATGGGCAGGTCGTGGCCCGTGTGCTCTGATGTGCTGGGATCGCCTATAGGGAGGGGCTCCCTTCTTCCTTCTCTATTATATCCCTTCTGTGAGCATCAGAATCTCGGCATCATCATGTGATGCCTCTGTCGAGTCCTCTCATCATAGCTCTGCATAGACAGGAGCACCACGGAACCTGTAGAACATATTAGGTAGGAGATCATGGCTCCCCAGTTCACCTTTCCCTCGACCGTTTGAACCAGGCACCAGATTCTCCGCGGATGTAGTGACAGCATGGGATATTTTGTTATTTTTTGACAGTAGGGATATAACCAGAAGCTCAGAACATGACTACGTTCAGTCTACCACTCTTCATTAGGGGCAGAAACAAATAAGGGCCACGGCTTACTGAGGAGTAATTGTTTTTTCTTCCTGCAACTGGGTCTAGTGTGTGCCTAGGCTGGCCTCACGATCCTTACGTAGCTACAGAAGACATTGGATTTCTGATCATCCTCCTGTTCTCCCTCTCTGGTGCTGTGCTTATGGAATGCACCCTCTTTACACAGTGCTTAGAATGAGAGCCGGCGTCTCATGCATACCAGGCCAGCCCTCTACCCCTCTACTATCTACCTCCCCAGCCCCTGCTATGTCATTTCGAAGACCCCTTAGTGAATTGTCAAGGAGGGCTTGAGGACTGCCTGCAGGAGAGGAGAGCCGTCAGCCAGGCCACCATGTCTGGCAGAGGCCTTGTTCGTCCATGCTGTGCCTATACTTGGCAGAACTCTGGGTCTTGTTTTGTGCCTTTTGTGGCTCAGAGGTTGACCTGAAGATGACCATTCATGGCTTCTAGTTTCTGCTGTGAGGCCATTTGTTTGAGTATAAGCATGTGTCCTGGGTCAGGCAGTGGGTACATGGGTTAAAAAAAAAAAAGCCCTTTGACTTTGGCAGCTTCAGGTCTCTGTTCCCTTGTCAGTGAGGTACAGGTGACAATGGGACATTTTTCATTGATGCAAGCAAGGAGAAAATGAGTCGGCATCTCAGTACGCATTAAGCCCCATGTGTATACAAGCTGGCATGATCCCCCGGGCAGGCTAGTATGTCCGCTCTGCAGGAGGTCAGGCTCATTGAGATGTGAGGTGTTCACCTGACTGAGCACACGTCTACAAAATTAGGTTCAGGGGACCTTAACTGGGGAAAATTTTACCTTTCTTCCCTCCCTCCCTCCTTCCCTTCCTTTCTTTTTTACTTTCTTCGATATTCAGTTTTTGAGATAGTGTCTGTATTAGTTAGGGTTTTACTGCTGTGAACAGACACCATGACCAAGGCAACCCTTATAAAGAACAATATTGAATTGGAGCTGGCTTACAAGTTCAGAGAGTCAGTCCATTATCATCAAGGGAGGGACATGACAGCATCCAGGCAGGAATGATGCAGGAGGAGCTGAGAGTTCTACATCTTCATCTGAAGGCTGCTAGCAGAATACTGACTTCCAGGCAGCTGGGATGCGTGTCTTAAATCCAACACCCACAGTGACACACCTACTCCAACAGAGCTGTACTTCCTACTAATGCCACTCCCTGGGTCAAGCATATACAGACCATCACAGTATCTAGCCCAGCCTGGGTTCTAACATCATCCTCCTGCTCTAGCCTCCCAAGTGTTAGAATCCCATGCACATTCCAGTGCTCCTGGCTCCTTAAGTACAAGGCAGGAGCTTTGGGGCTGCTACTACAGTGCATCTGTGTCCCTGTAAGGGGATGCAGGGAGAGACGCGCACACTCCAGCCTACAGTAATTGCTCCATAGTTTCTGTGAGCCTGCTCATGAGGCTCTCGGATAAATAATGGCACCTCTCCTGCCTGGTTGTCATTGTTTCTGAGGTGCAGGTCAGGAAACTGTTTGGTGAGGTGTCTAATTGCTGTGACTGCTGGACTCTGCTGGGCCAGCCCTAGGTCTGGCACTGCTAATAACAGCCGCAGGGGAAGCAAGACCAGAATGGCAGTAAAGGTGGGGACCAAAATCCTCAGCTTTCCAAGTTTACTGATCCCCTTCTCATGTCTCACAGTCATTTGAGCCTTGACAGCTACTGTGTACAGTCCCATTTTCCTCCGTCTGACAGAGCATACCAAGGAAACCTTGGCAAAACTCATGGTTTATATAAGGTCATGGAACCAGTGAACAGACCAGCCAAAATATAAACCCAAAGCTGCCCTTCTAGGTCCTTTGTACTTTCTGTTATGTTCTGAAGCCTCTCACATAACACATAGATATTCTCTGTCTCTGTCTCTCTCATATACCTGTGAGCATACCTAGAACATACAAAACCAGACATGAACAATGCACATGCAAATACAGTACAGACATAGAGAACACATGCATATAGAACATACACACACTCTGAACATACACATAAACACATTCATACAGAGTGAACAGTACAGACACAGAACACACACATATAGAATATACACTCTGAACATACACATAAACACATTCATACAGAGAGAACACTTGTCACACAAAACACACATACACAGACAGTACACACAGAGAACACAGAGAACACATGTACACTCATGTACACACATACACGAACATGCACACCACTCAGCAATATTCAGTTTAAGCATTTGTCCAAGACAGCCTTAGTCATAAAAGAAGCATACCTGGAAGGAGAGGGTATGGGCCTGCTCTCTCTGGTTGCCTCTCATCAGGGGAGATCCGAAGCATCCTGAACACTCTTTGTAGCAGCAGGAGAGCTCTGGGCAGATGTGGCCTCTGAGCTTTATTGAGACCCTCAGATAGGCTGTCACTGGGTGACTTCACCCCAGCTTATCCTGACAGTCCTGATGCTGAGCTGTCAAGCCTGCAGTTACTGTAATAGCATGAAGGAATAGTGTCCATCTTCAGGTTGGTGGGGAGCACGGTGAGGGGCCAGAATGCAAGGTCTAGGTGAGTTGTCAGCTTGTGAGTTCATCTGTCCCTGTTCCCAACAGGAATGTCCGGCTCTTCCTTATATCCTTTGGTCAGGTGCTCAGCAGCTCCACATACAAGAAGAGGGCAGGAGAACAGGGTTGTGGTTCTGAAGACCCTCAGAAACACTGGCTGGCTGAGGGCTTCAAAAGGCATCACACTAGGAAATCCCAACACTGTTTTCTTTACGTGGGTGGTTGGGGAGATTCCTATTCCCACTCTGTCCTTCCTGTTTCAGAGTGTGCCAAATAACTATGCCCATCTGTGAAGGGGGAGGGTACAAAGTACCTTCCCCCTCTGGGAAGGGTCCCAGAGGTCTGTGGTATGCTCAGATTTGTGGGGCTTGAGTGGTGTGAAACACATACACGTGGCTTTGAGGGTTCCGTTTGTGTCTCTACCCTCACCACCTCTATGTCCGTATCCTACCCTCTTATCTCAGACTACTGAGGGAGGAGGTAAGACATTTGGGAGATCATTAGGTGAACCCTGGTGAGTGGATTTGGGCCCTCTTTTGAAAGACTCTAGAGAGATCTCCAGGTCCCTTTCTACCGTAAGGTCACAGTGGGAACTTGGCCATCTGGGGTCCAGAAGAAGCCTCTACCAGAACCTGGTCTTACTGGTACCTTGGCCTCAGACCTGTATACTCCAGTGCTGTGAACAATAAATCCCTGGTCTTGGTGAGTAGCTGGCCCAAGGAGGCTTTGTGACAATGGTGTGAACTGCCTGAGACAGGATAAAAGTGCCGCCCGGTAAAAGAAGCATAGTTAAAGACTAACGTGGCTTAGCTTCCACAGGAGCATATAGGAAGATATAAGTGAGCCCTGAGAGATACCAGATAGAACGAGATGAAGTCTGAACAAAGAGTGAGGGTCAAGGAGAAGTTTGAACTCAACAAACCTCAGCTTAATGTGATGACATTTGGGAGAAATCTACAGTGTCTGCATATTCTGATCAAACTGATCACACTGGTCACACTGATCACACTAGTCACTTTGATCACACTTGTCACATTGGTCACACTGATCACACTAGTCACATTGACCCCACTGGTCACACTGATCACACTGGCTACATTCCCCACACTGGTCATATTGATCACATTGATCACACTAGCCACACTGGTCACATTGATCACACTAGTC